GACTAATTTGTTAATTTTCCGAGATGTGATACGATAGGCTTTCTTGGAATTATATAATCACCATGGGGGAAGCGTGAAACGACCGTCTTCAAATCCTATATCTTTCCGAGCTTGCAGAGCCCACCTGCGCAGGTCGGCGTCGTGAACAATCAATCCCGCATCAATTGCGTTTTTCATCTTATTCAATGTATACTCCAAAATACGCTTCAACTTCTCCATATATGTCCCTCCTTTATTGATTCGGTGTGTCCAATGACGTAACTGTCGAGTGGATTCTACCTTTTTGAATCGATTCGAAACTGTTTTCACGGAAAAATTTTGTTTCGTTCGTTGTTGTTTGTTTTGTCATTCGATTCCCGGCTGGGTGAAGCGGAAATTTTTTCTCTCTAAATTCTAATTCTCTTAGAATTCTTTAATGCCTAAAGGAGGTTAGGCGGTGTTTGAGGTGAATTTGAGAGTGAATTTCTGTGGTTCCCGGTAGCTTAGTCGGTAAGAGTACACAGCGCATATCTGGGAGACCCGGGTTCGATTCCCGGCTGGGTGAAGCGGAAATTCTTTCTCTCTAAATTCTAATTCTCTTAGAATTTTGCAAACACTTTTCCAGAATTCTGCTGCTCTCCGCTTATAGTCAAAATCTACAGGTTCCTCATCTTCCGAACATCTTTCAGATGATTGTTTATTATGTGATTGAAATTTTTTATCTTCAACCGCTATCATTTCTATATCTTTATAAGGCTCTTGAAAATCCAGGGATATTTTTTCAATCATTTCCACACTATTGTATTCCTCCATGGATCGAAGTAAAATCGTTTGGAAAGTATCCACTAGTTCACGTTCCGCATTGTTCACGGGCGTGTCAGCAAGATTAGAAACTTCAAATGTTGCCATAAGAAGTCTGATGACGTTGATTGGATTAATTTTCGCCATGAAACGATCACGAAACACAACACTCACTGATAGACAGTTTTTCTCGAAAGATTTTGCTAGACTGATCGTGAATTGCATGAAAGATGGAAGCCAAAAATAAATATGTATCCCCATGATTTTATTTTTAAACAACAGAAGTCATTCACAAGTCACAACACGTATTTCATTATCGAAAATGCAGACGACGGATTTTTCTTTTGCCTCCATATTCAGTTTCCAGAAACAAAAAAATTAACGAAGAAGGTACTCCGTATTTTTCTCATCCTGTTGCGAATAGTGATTTTATAAAATTTTAGATTACATTTTTTTTTCCATTTGAAAAATGATTTTCTAGGAGGGTAGTGGGCCCCCACATTCAACACCCCCGGGGATGAATTTCATTGTTAATCTCATTAGTTCTCACGAGCTTTGTATTACACTACGAAAAATTTCAAAATTGAAAAATTACAAGAAATTAATTTTTTCGCCATTGAATTGTAATCTGTAACAGAAATGCAAAAAAAAGGTATTCTGTCTTTTTGAATGCTCTTTCGAATGTAATTGGTTCCATGAAATTCTGAGCAATATTTTTTTTTTATTGGAAAAATAATTTTTCGCGGGGGTAGTTCACCCCCTTAATTTCAACCCCTGGGGATGATTTTTATTCATCATTCATCATGAGCTTCCTCTTACATGGCAAAATATTTGTCTGAGTACTCTCTTTATGTACGCAAACGACAAAATACCCCGAGAAATGGCCAACTTCAAACGACAGTTTTGCCCCCAAAATCCACTTATTAGCCGATAAGAAAAAATACGTATCCCTTAGTTTTGACTCCTCTACAACATATATAAGTTTCATCAAAATCGGAGGACACCAACCTAGGATTCTTTGTTAGGTGAAGCAAAGTGGAATGCAAAGCCACATGTACAGGATGATCATTTTTCTTCCACGTTTGTAAGCGTTCCATTTTAAACCACATTTTACTATGCACCATATAAAGCTTGAAAAACATTACGTAAATCGTATTTGATGAAGTTAGTGAAAGCCCGGATTTCAAATAGGAATTTTATTAGAATTTTTCAAATTCAAGTAGAGAGAGTGTGATGATACACTCTTGATGTTTCTATGATTTGACATTTTCACTGAGAAAATCATCCGATAGGAAATATTTTTTTTAACACTGTTGACAAAGGTTTCTTTTTCTACTTCACATAAATACATAATTGTGGATTTATGCAATGGGAAAATGAAACTTCGACAATTTTATTAGGAGATAAATCTTCTACAATGATCCATTTTTCTCCTTTTACAATGCATGTTGTCTAGTGTCCGAAAGTATTTTTGTTAATTATTTCTGGGTCATGAAAATTTACGATCCTGACTAGAATATATTCATCACTATTTACGTTCAATCTTCTCGTAAAATCATGTATTGGAACTTGAAATTTGTGATCTGAAGGACAATTGATGAAAAGATGATTACGGAAGTGGACACTTTGTATGATACAGGGTGTGCATCCAATATTAACTCCATCGAAAATTTCATATATTGTTTTGTCAAATATTTCTTGAAAATGTTGACAATAAAGATGACCATAATCGCATACGGCTGCAAAACTGGGTTCAATTATAACTTCATCAATTGTTCTACTACCACATGATGAACACTCAATTGTCAATGAATAACTTGGTTTTGATGAAAAATGATGGGGCATAATTTTGCTACTGTCATCAATGTATTCAAAATTATTAAATCAGAGCAGATTCGAATTTCTCTTCGGAAAAATTCCTTAAATTGAAAAATATTCAATCTCAATTGTTGAACATATTGCTCACCAATTTCATCATTTACAACAATGTATTTGATCAAATTAAATTCTGAAGTATTTGAATGAAGAACATCATTAGAGAAACCTTGAATACCACTGGCTGTGATTAATATTTGAATGATACTGTCGAATCCACATGTTTGCTGCAAACAAAATGAAATGTCTTGGCTGACTATTGGATGAGATATATTACCATTCTTGAGTATACAGGGTGTCTCATGGGAGGTCATCAGGGGGTTATGGGTCGGTTCTGGGGGTTGATTGTATGCAGAGAAAAATAGTAAAAAAATTCTAGGGGGTGAATTGATTAAATTATAAGGGTTTGAAGATGGCCAATGAGAGGGTGACTTTCAGTTGAAATTTCGAACATGGCGGAAATGGTGGGGCGTTGTTGGGAAACTCGGTAACATTGCGTGAGATTTGACTGAGGTCCCGCTGTGATGTGAAGTTGGTTGTCTGGGTTCACGTCCGTCACTCAACGGGGTTATGATATCGAGGTAAAAGGGTTATTGATGGTGGAGCGAGAATTGGTGGTAAAATGTGTGATCCGATAATGCTTGCCTGCAATACTTCGGGTGCTGTCATAATTGATATTTCAATCGCCACTTTCTTTAATACTCTAATCGATACGTAGAATGAAACTTTTTGTGATACATAGGTGAAATCAGGAATTGATACTTGAAATTGATACTTGAAATTGATACTTGAAATCAGGATTGAGATTGACAACGTATTTTTTCAAGTAACCAATTCGAGTAACGCGCTGAGTGTGACATTTCAGATAATTCTGGGTATCGATTCAAACCGAAATAAATAGTTGCATCGTTACTTATTTCGATACTTTAATCGATACACATAATGACTTGAAATTTGGCACCTATGGGGATATTAATAACGTTACCTGTTTCAATATTTGAATCGATACGCATAATAAATCCTCCTATGATACAAAAATGAGCTCGTGAATTAAATCAGTATTGAAAATAAGTATTGAAATAAGTAACAATAGAAATATCAATTTCGGTAATGCATGAGATGCTGAAAGTGAGTTAGTCCATCCCTATTTGTTTGGATACTTGAACCGATACGCAGAAAAAAACTTCCTATGATACATTACTCAACTCGTGAATTGATACTTGAATGAAGATTGGGGAAATATGTTTTTAAGGAAAAATTCAAGTATCAAAACATACTCACACTCATGTATCACAGGAAGTTATATCCTGCATATCGATTCAAGGCCAAATCGATATTAGCATTATCACTTATGTCGATACTTGAATCGATACACAGAATGACCTGGAATAAGTAACAATGCGAATATCAATATTAGTTCGAATCGATACGCAGAATGATACTTCCTTCGCCACTGGTTTCAATATTGGAATCGACACGCAGAATAAAACTTCCGGTGATACAAAACTGAAAGTATATTTTGATACTTGAATCGTTACTTAACAATCTGCTTCCTCAATCTCAATCCAAGTATCAATTCCCGAGTCAAGTTATGTATCACAGGAAGTTCTATTGTGCGAATTTACTCAAGTATTCAAACAAATAGCGATAGAAGTTTCATTCTAGGTATCAATTCAAGTATCGAAATAAGGAGGGATAGACTTACGAGTCACTTTCAGCATTCATTGCGTTACCGAGATTGATATTTCTGTTGTTACTTATTTCGATACTTCAATCAATACGCAGAATAACCTCAAACCTGGTACTTTAGTGTCAATTTTTGAATCCTCATTCGTAAGTCTGCTCCTGCATCGCAATGAGTATTAGCCTGTGTATCGAATCAAGTCCTGAAACAATTAACAATGAAAATACAATATTATGTAATAAAAATAGAATACGGTACTGAGCATTATCACAACCGAATCCGACACTCTATCCGGTACATGTCTTCATATTTGCACCACTAGTTGTTCTAGTATTTGAATCTATACGTAGAACATTAGGAATAACACTCAATTCACAGGTTTTTCCGTCTTTCTCAACTTGGAATTTGCAGTGAGTCATAATGACTTCTCGCATGGCCTATTTTGTCTTATGAGGATATCCATGGAACCGAATGATTTTCCTACAACGAATGTCCCCCATCATTTTCTCGTAAATTGCGTGCCTGAAGAGATATTCCCAAAAAATATCTGCAACTCAAATTTAACAATTGAAAAGCTTAATATATACGATGGGTTTAGAAAGGTTGCGAAATAAGGTCTGATAGAAAACATAATTAAATACAATTTATATTTCCGGTTTAGAATTAAGCACTATTATTCGCTCATTCAGAATAGATATAACAACTGTAACATTTGTCGTTATTGTGACATATGTCGTTGTAATTCTCGCAGATAGTCGACAGACATATTATTATTCCTTTTCGCAGCCTACAATCCTGAATTGGTTGCCCCAATCAAATTCTCTTCCAGAGTTCGGATGGTCTGGAATTTCTTCTTACAACTAGCATTGATGTCCTCCATCAGCGATTGCATGCCGGCATTCTGTCGATTATTTTCCTTCGCTGAAAATGAATAAATAAATTACAGTGGGCTAATTAGCTTTGTAATAGAATGAAATTCATGCAATAATTCCTAGGTTAACCAGTTTGTGAATTCATTTTATTTTACACTCCACCATCAAAAGTGTCTAGGTCTCAAAATATTTTCCTTGTGGGGACTCATGATTAATGTGATTAGAAAATTCACAACAGTAATCTTCACACTCACAGACGTAATATAACTACTAATGAGACTGGAGCAGTTATCATAGTGATTACAGGAGGAATAGTAGAAAATTCTACAGTGATTCTATTGGAATTACATTCATAGTCTATCGAAACTCTGTTCAAATTTTATTATAATGCAACTGAAAATTTTATTTGATTCTTTATGGTTTTGCTGTTCGATACGAAGAAGTCAACGATATTGTTTTTTTCTAGACGACTGATACTGTTGAGATTTTTTATGCGGGAATTCTTGGGCATTAATTTTTCATGTTTCATTTCTTTGATTTAATAATTGAAAACAAAAATAAATGGAGCGGAAAGGGAAAAATTAATTGTCAAGCGTTTCCAGTAGAGTTGGGATAGAATTCTAATAGAAATGCAATAGAATTCCCGATCGACAGCGCTTGGTTTCCTATTGAATTTATTTCTACAAACTTCCACCATGCATAAGCATTATGCATGATATTGTTGAGCTGTTGGAATGAAAATGATGCGAAAGAACGAGATATAGGATACTATATAATGATGTAGGATACTTGATATCTCAATTCTTGTATTTCGTATTATGACAAAGTGAGCATTGGAAACCGCTTTTTATCGCTGACTACATTGACAGAGACGAGAACATTTCACCAACTAAAAGTTGTTTGAATTAAACAAATAGTTTTCTGATGATTACCAAGGTAGAAATTGTTTAATTTGAACTGATGAAATTGCCAAACAAATAATAAGATAATTCAGTGGATTATGCGTCTCATCACTTTGGAAATCAACATTCTACGGATAATTTCCCATCTTCAGGCGACAATACATTATCTGACCAAAAAACTGATCTGATGCATAAATGTCGGTGATAATTTGTTCATGTTTGAGACTTGGTAATCATCGACGCGCAAATATTTTTATGGAACTAAGACTAGTTTGAGGATATGTTTTTCTATCCGATGTCAGAAGTTCGCCGAACTCCAACTTACCGCTTCCACTGAATGATTTAGAGTCACTTTGGTGTGCGCCTGACATCCTGAAGTCTACAATAAGAAGATTTTTATGAAATAATGGTATATTACGTTACTACGCCCACAAAGCCTTCGGCTTGGATTATAAATTCACATGAGAGTAACGAATAAGTGAGGTTATAATCATAGTTTACCGGGCTGGGGCACATAAACAAAACATTCTACAGTTGAACCTCTGGTTGAACGAAAATATCTCACAGCAATGCAAACTTTTATTCGGATTGATAAAATTATTCAAGTGAAATCACTATTGAACTTACTGTTGGATGAGGCCGATTCTACAGAACAATTAAAAATTCAGTTAATTTTTTATTTTCTGCCAGGCACTGCCAAGGTGTACAGTTGCTGCACGATTATGCACGACTGACTGTCTCTGAATACACTCTACTACTGAATATAGTTATATTTCAGTGGTCTCGTTTTGTATTGACAATTCTTCACCCTCTACACGCTTTCTTTCTTCAGATATATTTTTTCAGACAAATACCCAATAGAAAAAACTTGATAAAGTTTGATTTTTCTACTGAATTTGTTCTGTTGAGATTTTATCAATCAAAAATCTTCGGTTGGATGCTCTATGCCGAAATCGCGCGCGAAAAAACTATCACAAAAAGGAAGTGATGGCCTTGGTTGCGTGACAATTTCTCGCTTTTACCAACACTTTTAGGCGGCAACGACACCGACGAGACCGGTCACCAAGCCGGCCATCACTCACACTCATGATTTGTTATTATTTTTTGGTTGAGAATTCTTCTCAATTTCCTTTGCATTTTCCTTTCTGGAAGAGAAAACAGGCGAGAATTTTATTTGTTGATGTTAAGTACAATTTTAAAAGAATGGGTAAGTAACATTGAAATATTAATTTCAGTTTATTTCAAAATAAAATAGTTGACGAGGTTATGTCCGCAGTATGTTTACAAAACAATTCCAAAATCATTACCTTCAATTATTGAAACAATCACTCAAGTATTAACGGATTGAAAAGTCCAGAGCCTTCGGTTTGAACTCTGGAGGATGCTTTTGTGATTTGTCTACAAGACATTTCTGATGAAACAAAAACTGATACAATTGTCGGGGAATATTGTGCGGTCGCAAGAACCTAAGCACCAAACCCCTATTCTTTTCAAACTTCTTTTACTGACGCTTGTTTAAAATATGAACATGAATGTCTATTGAATCGTGAAGATTAATATTTTAACGACTATGCGTTGATGGTGTTTTTTTTTTGTTTACAATTCTCATACGTGTAAATCAGCAATTGGCATCCACGAGCAACACTTTATCAGAAAAGATTGAGGTCGATTGAGGTCGATTGAGGCTTCTATTCTAAAGCAGACCATTGGTCTTGTTGCTTGCCTGCAGCAGAAAGTAGGGAAAATGAGTCATCTCGTTGAGGAGTTGATGAATGAAATTGAAAATCATCGCAAAGAGCCAGCAGAAATTCTGTAATTAATAAAAGATGTTTGCTACGATCGCGGGATTTGTATCGACTAACGTTAATATCTTCATTAACGTTCCAATTTTGTTCAATGGGTGAGTTCAATTGATGATTGACAAGCCTTTTCTTCATTGAAATGCTATTCAACATTTTTATAATTGAACATTAGAGCTTTCATTCAAGTTCCATTTGATATTACATTGCCGACCATTTTTTAACGATTTTATAATTGGAAATTTAAAGGTCTCAATTGGATTTTCTGTTTTAAACCACCAGGAAACTTTCAAAAAATATGAAAAATTAGAGAGTGTACTCTCTGCGGTTTAAGATGCAAAAGATGATTGAAATACCTCAATGTTTAAAAGATTAGGATTTTTTTGTTCAAAATTGATGAACAATCAATTCTTCACCCTCAAAATCTTCTTCCGGAATCTTCATTGGGTCATTGTTTATTTATACTTAGAATTCGAAACTTCAGGAGAGAATGTTAAGGAATCGTTCTTGGAGTTCAACATATTGTCAATTAGAAGAGTCTCTTAATATTTTCTTCTAGAACCAGCAATTATCGGAGTAATTCAACATCGAACGAGATGTAAATGTACTCAGCAATTGAATAGCTATGCTTGGACAAACTACTTCCATCTCTCCTACAGTAGGAGTTCTACTTCACGACTACGATTTGATATACAATTCACTAATTTAATCAAATCTCGTAGAATTACACAAAATTACCTCACAGAGTGAGATAATTTTCTTCTCTGATCGTGTTTGACTGCCTGAACTAATTCGGAGTGACCAATTGCAGTAAAAATCTATTTTGATTGATGAATATGAACCAGATGTCTTTTTTTCATAAATTGACGACTAATTATTATTTCTCTCGGCAGGTTCCGTTGGGAAAATCCTAAGTGTTTCATAATCAATACAGGATCACCGGAATGGTAACGAGTACGTGAAATGAAGATGAAATTTTTCTTAAATGAATGATATCAGGAGAAAATTTAAAGAAGCCTTTCCCTTAAAATTATTATCAGCTACCAGGAGAAATGTCCAAAGCAAGGATATCACGTATGAAAATAATAATAGAAGAACCTAGTGCTTTCTCTATTTCTATTGAATGTCTAGTGAAACTCTATAAGAGTTTTATTGAAGTTTTATTAAAATTCCATTCGAAAATTCTATTCTTTCTTTTTTTCGCGAATTTCTATTGGCTATTATGCAACTTTGCTGTGCGATTGTTTAATAGATATTCGATAGAAAAAATGTCAATAGATTCTGATTTTTCTACATGAGATATTCTCTTGAAAATTTTTCTATAAAAATTTTTGGGCATGAACTTCCTAACTTTCTTTTCGCCACATTTTTTCTATTATTACAAAATCAACGAAGGAAAAAAGAAAAATTCATGCCCAAGAATCCTTATAGAGGAAATCACAATAGAATACGATGGAAAAATCAACATCAATTTATTTTTTCCTATCAAGAAAAATCTATTGAAAAGCATTCGGCCAAGCTACATAATTTAAAAAACAGTATTCTTGGAATAAAAATATTCTTTCATGAGTGGAGGAAAAAAAATACTGTATCAAGAGGTCACAACTTCTTGTCTCTATTTTTTCCCCTTGTATGTATGCCTCCTGGAATTTTTTCTAAATTTCAGTTACTTTCACGTTCCATTAAATCAACAAATATTTTAAAATTTTTAATTAATATAATTGTCGACCCAATGTGTTTAGATTGTCAATCTTGACGATTAAATTACGACCATGATTCTCATGAAAATTTGAAAAAAAATGTTAGTTGCGAACATTTGTACATCAACGTGAATTAAAAATTGTTCATTTTTTAATTTAATAAAGAATGTTATGAAAAATTGTTACTGTGTATTTTGATTATTAATTCTGATCTATATCGATGTATTTTTGAGCTACGGACATTGTGTATGTGAGCCTCTTGAGGCATAAATAAAACAGAAATGAATCGGCGACAAATGACGATCGAGGTATTGTGGATTCCACTACAATCGTAAGTTTCATGTCGTTAATCCAGTCGCGTTGGTCATTCTCAATAATTATATAAATAGTTTAATGATGATTGAACAATGGGAGAATACAGTCCGGGCGAGTACGCGAGGATGTGCCTTCTGTATGCAGAATGTGATTATAACGCTGCTGAGGCTCGTAGATGCTGGCAAGAGCGTTACCCAAACGAGAGACTCCCAGCGGTCTCAACAATTGCAGCTACAGCAAGAAGGTTTGAGGCAACTGGGAATGCACCCAATCATTGAGAAGCTGGACCACAAATATTAGCGCGGAAGCCTCGTACCGAAGTAAGAGTTCTTCGATTTTTTCGGGGCTATCCGCATACTTCGATTCGCCTGGATTCGACTGGACCACAAATATTAGCGCGGAAGCCTCGTACCGAAGTAAGAGTTCTTCGATTTTTTCGGGGCTATCCGCATACTTCGATTCGCCTGGATTCGACTGGACCACAAATATTAGCGCGGAAGCCTCGTACCGAAGTAAGAGTTCTTCGATTTTTTCGGGGCTATCCGCATACTTCGATTCGCCTGGATTCGACTGGACCACAAATATTAGCGCGGAAGCCTCGTACCGAAGTAAGAGTTCTTCGATTTTTTCGGGGCTATCCGCATACTTCGATTCGCCGAGCAGAGGCAGCTTTGGTTGTGGGCAGGCTGACTTTTCAATGAATTTTGGTGGCCTATAAGCGGCATCTTTATCGTTTCATTTGCGTCCAAGGACTCCATCATCCTGATTACAGACAACAATGAGAATTTTGTCGGTGGTTACTTACTCAACATGAAGCAGATACTCAGTTCATCAATCGAATCATTTGGACCGATGAATCTACTTTCATCAGATGTGCTTCATGGAACCAGTATAATGATCACTGCTGGGCGAGACGGAATCCACATCTGGTTATTGAGAATCGAGTGCAGCAACAACGCTTTTCTCTCAATGTTTGGGCTGGGATCGTTGGAGATCACATGGCAATTTCTTTGTTAATTTGTAGTTGTTATTTTTTTCCGGGGTTTATTTCGTTTCATTGTTATTATTTTTGTTGTTTTTTTTTGTTGGTATTTGCAATCCAAAAGTCCCTCAAGTCTGATTCAATAACGAACTAGCACAGGGGGTATCAAGTTTATTCAGGTCATAAAGAGTCTTCAAGAAATTGCTTTGAATCTAAGAGAGTCGGAAATTATTTTGTCAATGCCTTGTGACGAGTGATTTTTATTCTAACTACAGCATGATGTTGTCGAGCGCCAGTTGATTTTAGTTTATCCGGTAAATCAACAAAACCGACCAAATTAAATGATATCTTACTCCTCAGGGGGGAAGAGGAACATCCCTTGCGTCGCGCACTGCCCCGAAACAAGAACACACCACTATCCCGAATAACTTTTGAGTCTATTTATTCATTAAATTGAACATAAACTTTGTGACAATTGTAATATAACAAAATTATAATATTGTATGTATGATTAAATTTAGGTTTATTGAGCTTTCCTCAGAAACCCGCGAACCCAGATACGATAAATTGTTATTTTAAAGATTTGAATTCGCTATTAACAAAACCAATATTTTCCAATATCAAAATAACCTCAACTCTGACCATGACCAGTAAACCTCCTGCGATGTACCAGGACAGGACACAAAATAGTCACATAATTATTTCAATTCAATCTCTCATCAAACTATATATTGTCCCACACTTCGACGTGTCTTACCGAAATCTCCTAGCGATTCGGTGTCGAAATTCCCCACGAGGTCCTTTCCGATTTCCGAACATTTCCGGGTTTTCGCGATGGGATGCTCAGATCTTCGGTGGAGAGGGTAGCCCAGCCGATGACGCCGTCAATTCCCCACATCCTCGTTTATCCATATCCTCGTGATCGTCTCCCTGATCCTGGAGAGATTTTTCTCCAGGTTGACGATACGAGGTTCCCTCGGTAAAAGAAGTCAGGGGGAACATTGAGGAATCTTGCTAATAAGTATTAATCCTCAGTGGTTCTGTTATGAGTGAGGAGATCTGGATGGGTTTTTGTTTTTAATTTCAAATTTTCCGATAGTAAATTTTGTCACTGACGACTTCGTCGTCACAATGCCCCTTATTTGCCTGAGCCCTCCTGGGCGTGAAATAAAATGAGGAGAACCCATACCCATTGTCAGAGCTGAATATTATTATTTTCAATCGGAAGCTGTACAAATGATCTCTACTCCCATCAAGAGCTCCCGAATCACTGAGTATTATCATCTCACACAAAATCTGAACTTTATTACCCAAGCGCCCACAAAAGTTCAACTTTTCTGTGGCGTTATCTCAATTATCTCTAGACCAGTTTGGTCCTGGCTATTTACAAACAAATACCGTATTGTGAACAAATACTATTTACAGACAAGTTCCCAGTCCCGACAGGTCACTGAAAAAATCTTGTTAATTAATGAGATTCACATGGTTTAAATTGATTCAATCCTGGGCTCCAGCTCCCGGCTAATTGGCCTCAGGGACTCGTTCATGGTATTTTCGCAGGTGAGCCACATGATGACGTCCTGCTATCTCCCGTCAATATCCTCGAGCTCCACGACAACCGGAGACACCACCTCTATGACCATGAAGGGTCCCGCGTATTTTCGGAACAAACGCCTCGCTTCGCCATGGTCAGCATTT